TCAGAGGGTTGGATCAGATGGTTGAGGAACTGCAGGGCCTTTGGTATTGAGCTTTAATGGTATATTCAAGGGTGCTAGAAAGTCTTCAGCGCACACCAAGCCTACTCTAGCGGCTGTGGCCATGCAGAAGTCCCCTACCCCTTCTGTTTTGTGGCTTTCTCTTTAACATATACAGCTTACACCTCTCAAATATCCTTCAAGGGTCTCGCAGGGGAGATTGCTGTGTCTATTCATGATGTGCTTGCGTGTTTTACATGAATCCCTATCCCTCTTGCGCTGCCCATACAGTGGGGAGAGAAGTCACATGGTATTTCATGGTTTCTGTAACCATGCCTTTAAAACTCCCTTTTGGTAGCACTTGGGACCATTTCCATTTCAACAGAGACGAGCGGGGTGGCTGGTTCCCGGGTGCAAAGCCACAGGACTGAAACTCTTGCTCAGCTCAGTGCCCATAATAAACTTTACTGTAAACTCTATTGACTGGAGACTGAGGATCTAACTTCATTAAACTCTCCTTGTTTGCTTCTAAAAAGCAGTTGCCTAAATTTAGCTTACTGCTGCCATTTTGACCAGAAGTAAAGCTTTCTGTCTCTTTTGGGAACAAAGAAAAATGGTGTTCTTGTAGTAATAAAAATAAAAATAAAAAAGGAAAAGGGGTGAGGATATCACTATTAATCAACACATACAACTTTGTTGGAACTGAAGTGCTGATGAGATGACTTGAGGTGAATTGGCAGTACAGCTCTACTCAAAAGGAGTGATGGTTTGATGTTAAAAAGATCAAAGATTACCCCAAAGCCTCGGTGCCTTTGCCCCCATCCTAAAATGAGCCTGATCCACAGCCCTGAATTGTGAAGGATTTCTTATCCAGTCCTGGAGATGCTGACTCTAATTTTATAATCCACCCCCACCAATGAACCGAACCAAACTAAGGGGTAGGTCTGTAAAGCACACAGATGGGAACCAGTCCACTGAGGCCACAATCTCATGCTGGTGCGGGTCTCGCAGCCTGGATGACCTCACAGAGCAAGACAGGAAAGCCAAGGTTTGCATCTCTAAAGCAAAGATGCATTCAAGAAAATACGGTGGAACGGAAGAAGGTTTTTCTCAAGGACAAAATTCAACCGATCTGAACACAGCCCAGCTTAAAAAAAAAATAAAAATAAAAAAAAAAATCAAAGCTTCACGGCCAGCTCCCATGATTAAATCATGAAGCTCAATGAATATTCGGAGATGTCTCATTTCCCAAGGTTCCTGTCCTAGATAGAGCTAAGACGACAGGTCTGACCCTTGATGGCCTTCTAACTAGCTCCGTGCACCGGAGGGGGTTCAAACAGCATCATCACCTCCCACACGCTCAAGGTGGCTGCCTCGTCGCTGGCATACCCTCAAACGGAGGCAGCTGCCTGGGCCAGGCTGGATCATAGTCCAAAGCAGTGGCAGGTATCCAGAACGGCCAGGGAGTGCATTGGCATTCCCTTGCACATCCTTTTTAATAAGACTTGCTTATCTTGCTGTCCCCACCACGCTCCTTTGCTTGCATCCTTCACACCATAAAGAGGATGTTAAAAGGCGATCTAAAAACCTGCGCTTACACAGACACTCATCTATTCAATTTTCCAATGGGGACCAATATTTGGGAAGTATAATGAAGACTGGAAACTTCTCGGGGTTTGAGAACTGGTTCTGAGCCATTCACTCAGCTTATTCCGTGCAAGCCGCATCACGCCCTGACCTGGCAGATATTGCATTGCCCGGCTCCGTAGCCACGTGGGGGGACTTATGCTTAGGATAACCAGAGATAAAAAAAAAAATTGATCTGCTTCTTGGGCAGGACTGAGTGAGAAATCTTGGGTCTTTAGAGAAAGGCACTATCTTTTTCTTTGCTATGAGTATTTGGAAGGGAAGAGGGAAACACAGATAATATTAGAAGCCTTGAAGGACGTCACATCTTAATGCCCAAGCTTACCGCCAACCAGGAATCCTAAAAGCACCCGTAAGACTTTAGGAGAAGAAGTCATTAGAGTCAAATATCAAGTGACGCTGCAATCTGCAACCCACATCAGCAGTACTTAACCCAGAGCTCAAGTCACGGGCACTTGTTGCAAGACCCACAAACACCAGCACCTCCTTTCATGGGCAGGATGAGCTGTCATGTACCATTCCAGTGATAATACAGCTTTTGCCCCAGGAATAAAATGTCAGCATAAGGTAGATGGGCCACTCAATCAGACAGGTTAAATATGTATTCACTCTGAGAGCCAGGTGAGGGAAGGGAAGTCATTATACTGCAGGATCTCCTGAGTGCCGGTGACAGCAAGAGAGCAAGATTTCTCCCACACTTAGCAGACTTGAAACGGCGAACCTGTCATCGAGCTTCAGCAAATCCTGTTCTGTCTCTACCTTTTACCTACCTTTTTTTTTTTCTTTTATGCATTAAGGATTTATAAGAAGATGGACCCCAGCTGTAAAGTTCAAAGTCTGGATCCAAACTTCACCTACGTCTGTGGCATGCTTGGAAACCCTATCTATATTTTAGTCATGTCAACGCACAAGGCTGTTTTGCAAACAACAGGTTTTATCCTTATGCAGCTTTCTGGTGCTCTCTTCAATGACAAAGTGCTTGTGCTACAAACTGAGCACTGCTAAATGCACGGTCTTGGCATGCACCAGTGAATCATCCCTAATGACATATTTAACTGTTAACTGGTATTTAACCTACGAGAGGCAGCATGGTCTAGCACCCGGGAAACAGTGTTTGGAGTCAGAAAGTCCCAACCCTTGTTGTAGACAATATAAGCACGAGGACGGCACTGACCAACTCTGTTTCTACAATGCAACATACATTTGGAGACCGCTCAAATCCACAACCCCGAGCTGAAATTTAATCCACGAAGAGCATTCAGATGCACCAAACCTTGTTCAAGAGCCCAGCTTGCAAGGGCAGCACATGGCTGGGCTGAAAATCCAAGAGCATGCTGTGGACACCTTTTTCCTCCCGGGACCCCTACCCAGCTCTGGACCCAGCACCCCCTTCCATCTGCCACTAGCCCATGTTCTTTGCCAACATTGCTTTGGTGACTGGGCTTTGTTTCCCTCCCATATTTAATACCACTTTTTACACCATCCAAACTCAACAGCCATTACCAGGTCCATGGCACTTTTCCTGTTCATCGCCTTGCACAAAAATGGACTTGTTACACTGTGGAGCATTGTGTTGTGATCATGGGTCTCTTGCTTTAGTGGGACCATGCTTCCACTTCCCCATCTCGGTCCCTCGGCTCTCTTGAAGCTCCATGACCTCTCTTAAGATAAGGAAGCTTACAAAGAAAAAGGAAACAGGGCTTTGCACCTATCACAAGTCAAGTCCGCTGTGACCATTGGGGCACCTGAGATGCTGTAACAACCCTCCTCCACACCTGGGCTTCATATGATGTGGTATGAGGCTAGTTGAGTTGCTTTGCATCATCGGTGATTCTTTGGACAAAGTGACCTGGTGGCGCCCATCTCCTCTCCAGGTATGGATGGCTGTTGGCTCACAGGGAGCTCATCCATCCTTCAACGGGTCTTGTTTTTAGTCCTGCTGGGTGTCCACACACCCTCCTTGCCCAGGCTAACCCAGGTCGGGGTGCTGGTTTAGTCGCCGACAACCAGACGATGTAACGGGCTGTACTGGTTTACATGGTACCAGACAGCAGACCAAGAGGCCTGGCCTGACAGGGACCTATACCAAGCCACAATACTTTTTCCTAGGTCTCCCCTTGGTGCAGGGAAACACGGGGTGTCTTCCTTGCTAAGATGCTACGTAAGAGCAGGCACATACATCATGCCATAGACTATTTCCCTCACCCCAGCCAGACAGCTTTCCCCACATTTTTACCACATGCTCTAAACTTCTAGCTTTCACTTAAGCACTCAATGAATTAATTACTTCATCAGATTCTTGCTATCCCCAGCCCCTGAAGATCTGCTCAACAAGCTGAAACAAGGATATACCTTATATATAACATGCCACACCATCCCAACTTGCTTTGCTCTAGCCTACAACTCCCAGGTTGCTGTAGGACAGCACACTCCCCAAAATCCCCTAGCAGCATGCTGAATTTAGACCAGACTGTGTTTGGGCACTAGAACCTCTTAAAGGGCAAGAGCAGTGATCTAGTGGATATTATTATGCCTATCCTGTGGATCATAAAATAGACTGAAAGGAGTAGTGGCTTGTACAAAGACCCGGTGACTCAATAACGCATTTGGGATTTGAATTCAGCACTTCCTTTGCAGAAAATACGAGGATACGGCTCGTGTCCAGATGAGTTTCCATTTGAAGAAGGGTCTGTCTTACAACTTACCGGGCACATCTACACAAGATGCTTAATGTGCAGTAGCGTGTCCCAGCACAGACAGTGCTAATACGCTACTGTGTAGTATTATTAGGCTATAGATAGATAGATAGATAGATAAAAGTGGGGTGCAGAAGAGAACAGTTTAATGAACTTTTTTCATCATTGCAAAAACTTCTATTAGTTCACCACTTTGTCTCTTTTTATCATTACCACAACTGGGTGGAAGTAAAACATATTCATGAAAATATTCACATTTTTACATTTGGGAGTTTTTTCCCCCCTATTTTTAATTGAAATGTAATTGAAATGGATATTTTCTAAGCAACTCTATAGGTAATGACAACATATATTCTGCACATCTCTGTCATAGTTTTTCCAAGACACTCATCTAATTCTCATTGAAGTCAGTGGAAAGGATCCTATTACAAACTGACACCAAGTTATTTTTCCATTCC